TTTTTTTCCCCCCTCAGTTACAGTCTTTGTTGAGATTGTCTTTTTTTTGCAGCGGTGCTGTTTGAGGACAAGAAATACGATGCTTGCATCGAACTATGCATGAAGGCAGTCGAAATAGGCCGTGAGCAGCGAGCTGATTACACGCATATCGCCAAGTAACTTTTTCTTTCCTTTCGTTTTTGAAGAGTCGAAACCCGTTTATTGTGTTTTTCTCAACGCGCAGCATTGCAGGGCTTTTGCACGAATTGGCAATGCTTATGTGAAATTGGACAATCTGAAGGAGGCGCTCACTTATTTCGACAAATCGCTCTCGGAACATCGGGACCCGGTAAAAATCTTCGCGAGCATATTTTTTATATTCATTCACGGTGGTTTTATATTTTATTAGATTCATTTTGGTTGTTACGGACAGTAATTTTCATTCGCAGTGAAAATTGCTCGGAAGTTATTGTTAGTCACAAATACGCTCAGAATGCTCCCAAATCCTTTGTACTAGTTATCATCAAACAGCAAAATTAGCGGACGGCCGCAATCGTAAATTATAACCCGCCAGGAAAAGGCACTTCAAATTTAGCGATAGAATGTAGGCATATGATTTTGCGCCACTCCATGTACTTTGTCCCTTCTTGCATCCACGGGGACTGGGAGTTAGTCACTTTCTTAATTTTTCCAGAAAGCAAGATCCACCAAATGTTTGTCTTGCCCACCGAGTCTTTTTTTCTCCGTGTTCTACAGAGGTGGGAATTGGATCGCTGTGTCGAAAAATGCGCTCAGCAACAGCTGCATTTCTAACGAAAGCTTCGGAACCAGCTTTGTTGTCTCAGTAGTACCACTGCATCGCCTACCTAACTTAGTTGCTGTTGTGAGGAACAAATGAAATTGTCCATGAATTGGATTTCCTTAAGTTTATTTACCTTCAGATTTTCATAATCTTTGGAAAAAAGTACCTCATGTTTATGTGGCAATTTTAGGAGCTGGTGAAAAAAAGGAAGATGTTGGAGAAGGAGTTGAAAGAAAAAGAAAGGTTGGCTTACATCAATCCGGAGATTGCCGAGAAAGAGAAAATCAAAGGGAACGAATTTTTCAAACGAGGTTAGTTTGTAATTAATCGCTGTA